CACTATGCCACGCTACTACCCATGTTGACGCCTTAGGCACTGTGTGCTGGCCTGACTAGCCGCTGGTCATCACCCACCAAAGTCTCTGCCGTAACCAAGGGCCTGGCCAAGTTGGTTAGATCAGCAGCTGGTTGCACATAATTTTGACAGATTCAGTCGAAGCGGACTGGAAAGATAAGTTCCGGAAAAGCGACTGCCACTGAGGGATAGGCCGTTTTCTTTGCAAAAAAAAAACGAGGAAGGGGAGGAATTGGGAGAAGGGTGATAGAATGTTAGATAGGGAAGCCGCATTGCGTATGAAAAGCGTTACGGGGACCGTGATGCCGTCACATCTTTTTCCCCTTTCAAGCTGTTGCTGGTGCTGTTGTCAATATGACCGTTTTCATAACCAGTGGTGCTCGACTATATCAGCGGCGGTATCAACATCATCTATGACAGCAGAGCCATAGCTCCAGCAGGCTATTGTAACCACACCCCTTAGACCGTTCTCCATTAGGTGAGAATAACACTTCCTGCTTGCAGCATCAACAGCAGCAAATTACGGCGACAGATGAAGTAAGCCATGGTTGTAGGCCGCTATCCTCTAGCAACCTCTTTTGCAAACCGTATTGGGTCTGTTAGTTACATCAACGTGCCGACAGTCGTACATACATCGAGAACAATAAAAGCAGCATCAAAGACAGTAGAAGTAGCAACGGACGGTGCCTCGAGTAAAATCTTCAGCGAACTACTTCACTTGTTAGCAACAAGATCACTGGCCATACCAATGAATACATGTACAGTGGTGCGAGCACAGTTCGGTGGCATGTGATACACCGCATTTGCGGCCAGCTGTCGTTATTGTTGATGGGCATCCCTTCATTAAACACAAGCCACATAAAATATGGCAGATGTAAAATATTACAAAGTAGCTTCGTTGCATGCATAGAAAGCGCGTTATTCCCGTGTTGTTGTCTACATTACGTAGCCGCTGTGTCTGCATTAGCGTGTTATGCATTGCCCTGGATTAGAGCAGGCTGTAGGCGAGCTGGCATACATTGTATTGGACGGTATACCTACTATAAAGTCATACGATGTGTAAGCCCTTGTTCCCAATAGGTTGCAGGAACCATATAATCATGTAGAACGTAACGTAACGTTTGTGGAACTCATTTCACTATCGTATATGCTACCTTCGGAGTTTCGTATCAAGCCCGATACAATGCACAAAAACTTGGTAAAGCTTTTTGGCTGTCTGCGGATGATGCCATGTAGTTGAAGCAATCGAAATTATTTGATGTCGCCACTTCACCGTCCGAGGCACGTCAGACCCCTTGAGGTCATTCTACGCTTTTACTGTGTTCTTCGTGACGAGTAAACGCATTGTGGTAATGACTCATTAGCAGTGTTTCTTCCTAGGAACTAGAATCAAAGTTGAGACGTATGTACATTTATATGCTTCATATTTATGTCTTTTGAATAATGTTTATATATAGCTCGATCCCTCTGTTACCTTTTAGACCGGAGACGAAGGTGCCAAGCCTAATTCGGCCATTAAAAACCGCCGACAATCGAAAGGGTTTCCAACGAACTAGATCAATAAATTCTTTCAATCATGGTCAAATATAAACGTACGTTCATAGCGAGAAAATTTCTGTTTGGCAGTTCCAGAGCCCTGCGGAGGATCCTTTACATGTTTACAACGAGTTCAAGGTCACAAACAGCCGCTGAAGTTAACGACAGACTGTAGGACAAACAGCGTTTGTTTTGCGGGCTGGTCACTTGCCTCCAGAAAAACTGTTGCTTACATTGTTTAATCCACACAGAAACAGTGAACAACGGCCCCCGTAACAATCGGCCACACCCGTCAATGTCTTACTGTATCCACGCTTAATAGGACTATTACGACTCTGTTACACATCTAAAGATGTGAACTCTTATAGAAGACTCTGGTTTCCCATCACGCTCACTTCACACTAGATGGGAGCGGACGAAGGCCTGTAATTTTTGACATTTTATTTAGCTTATTTATCTACTCCAACCTTTAGGAGATATCTAGTGGACAAACCAAAATGGACGAGATGTGATCGTTCAAACAATGATTAATCGCCTTGATTTGTTTTCTTCTTATTTACTCTTTATGTGGGCTCTTTTCATGCATCAAAATAAATAGGGGCATTGTAAGCCCGATACAAAATGTGCCGTTTAACAGAATGCATTATAGATGACATTAGAATGTATACACGTCGTGCATTCGTACATTTGTCTTAGCTCTGCTGATATATACATAAATTTGAAACGGTTTTTACTCGGTAGTAAGGTACTGATGATGCTCCGCCAAACGAAAATCTTGAACCGCTCTGACAGAACGACTTACAAGCCCGCTTCCATGTATTATACCTTGTCCGCTTTTTCTTTTTTCTTTTTTTTTTATTAGACATCGAACTTTAATGGGGCATCTGGAAATAACGCCGTGCGCAGACATGTTTGCCACCTATATGTTTATTTTGCGCAATTTATTTCTATAAGGTTTCCACTTGTTGGCTAGCAGTAAACTTCCGCCGAAACGACCAGAATCTTACGCCTGCACCTGTGTAGGGTAATGCTTACCCAGTTTCTTGACAACTTTTCCAAATAGACGGCCACAATAGTACCTGTAACACTGATATTTCTATCGCTTCTGACCATACCTGAATCGTTTATTTGAGCACTACAAAATCATTTCTACAACTATATATATATATATATATATATATTAATGTGTATTCTATCTGAACACAGTAGTAGCAGACGACGTTTCTTTATTATAACTGGACAGGAATGGAGTGCATTTGCAAAACCTGCGGGCAGCGCCAGCGGGCAGCGCCAGTGGGCAGCGCCAGCGGGCAGCGCCAGTGGGCAGCGCCAGCGGGCTAGTTGGCGTGGCGAAAATAGGCTTTCCTCTATGTAGAGCGTTCGTTATTGAGTGGGCTTGCATTCAATCTGTATACGTCTTACCGACGTCGACTATATGGAGTGTTTCTACATACAGAAGAATGGTGAAGGATGCGGACCAATTGTGTGTATTACATCATTTATTATGCTTGTTGTCTATGAAATGGTTGGTTCATACATAGGAGTTGATCTGAGCTTGTATGAAAAATTTTTCTTGACAGAAAGACGTACTGAAGTAAACACAGATGGATAGAGGTGGGTAAAGAAGCAATTCGAATTAGTGTAACATTATTAGCTAGGACTATTGACAAACTAGTTCATCATTGAATTAAATGAACCTGAGTCAAAGCGAATAGCGGTTGTCATCATAGTAAGAAAAAGAAATAACATTCATTCATTTCTATTTTTCTATTCTATTTCTAGAAACTTTTATCCGTATCCTATTATTTAGCAATCATCCAGTATTTCTGCTTTCCATGGATCGAATACTCGATATACTTTGGCTTCCTGGGAAATTATTTCACTTTAATTTCCCTTAATTCCGTTAGAAGTAAAAATTTTTGGCGCGAAGACCATTTCACTTCGGGCCTATTTAGCATCATGCAGCGTGCTCCTGTGCTTCAAGTGGCCACATATAAGCACAGCTACGCCGTTTTACACAAGCCATATTCAGCAATATTGAAGATGGCCGTGATATTTGACCCGTTGCATTACTTTTGATATCTACAGTCCATTATTCGATTGGTTTCTATTTCGAGATGTCGAACAGGTCTCATAGGCTAGCTTGGAGGAGCGAGTGGATGGTAGGCGGTTTTCGAAGAAATGCGATTCCGATAATGTTTGCCAGCCGTAATAGGTTGACAAGTAGATGTACTTGCTTTACAAGATGGCCAGCTAACTTCGCAAATGTATAAAGTCGTACGTTTCTCAGTGTGAGGTGACCTAATCCTGAGATAGTGTTTCAAGCAACGGAACAAAATTGCTATGCCAGCCATGTCACTTTGACGATGTAAAGTTAACTACTAGCTCTTTCTTTGTATCCTTTTAGACTAAGAATACATATTCGATAAAAACGATTCATTGTGCAACTGAACTTCGGTAATAAACTTCGGTCATTATGCGCTCACTGTCGCCTCTACAGGAGAAAGTTTATAGAAGTTCATCACTCCGGCAACCTAAAGTCGATATTAATGAGACAAGATATCTTGGCCACTTCCACTTATCTGTGTTTATCTAAACCATTTTCTCAAGCCATTACTACTTATGCAGTTGCCGCAAATAACAACACATCATCAATCCAGAGTTCATTTAATTGGTACCCCCCTAACTACGCTTGCACTTTCTAAATATCAATCAGTCATGCTAGGTAAGTGTGCTATCAGCCCCCATCTGAGAAACCTGAATACTAAACTAAAATCAAGCGACAGTTGATTAGAAGGACATGAAAGCAAAATTACGTTGAGATGACAGAGCATCAATTTTCCGACCGTCAAAGGTGATCTACGTTTTCATCTGCACCTCATTCGCACGTAGATCTTACAAGAGGATTGACACACAGTGCCCCTACCGTTTGGAAACAGCTGAAGCAGTGCTCCACTATCGGATCTCGTTACTTTTGATCATTCGGGTTTATTTATTTACCAATATTAACAGTGAATAATATGATCGACATAAAAAAAATGGATTGTTTTTTTACAGATGGCAAAAATTGCTCAATAATCAACAAACGGGAGTGTACAGGGATATTTAAACTCTTTGAGTGGATGTTCTTTGAGTGAGATCAGCTGCTGACAGCTTACAGCACATCTTGGTTCATTTTTTTTTCTATTTTTCTATGCCATTGCAGCAGACTCACATGCATGGTTTCGCATGTCGAACTCGAGCTGGATTGTCTCTTCATATATCTGTTATTTCAAGGAATTGAACTTGCAGATAGAACCGTTTGTATTGTGTGACAATCTATACCATTTCCGATTTCCTAAGATAATTTTTTTGGAGAAATCATCGTCTAAAATGTTTGACCAGTGTCAGAAAATGCATCTGTTGTACAGTTTTTCTATGCTCGGGATGTTAGAGCGCATACATACCTCCATTCTCCAGGGTGGCAAGTTCTGCTTCATGGGATGTCGCTGACCGTGTGCAAATGGCCAATGCAACCATAAGAACAAGGCAGCACCTCAAAAAGAAGCTGTTGAAGGAGCACATCTTTGGCCTGTACAGTGGGGGTTGGCCAAACGGTCGGGCACAGTGCAGGCGACTTAGTCCTGCTAGCGAGTTTTCCTACTGGGTATCCTCTTAGTATAATAGGGCTTGCCTGCCGTCAGAGAGGTCGAAGAAACCCTACGGCCACGGCAAATCGTTACAATCCATGGGTCGAACAAGATCCTCTACTAGTAGCGTAACAGTTCCAATTGAATCACTCACAAAACACAATAGCGCACGCATTGTCACTGCACAGCTACGGTAGCTGAAGAAGTATTCACGCGTTGCACTTCGGCTATAAAAGAGACGCATACATTAATATTTTCTGTTGCTCTTGTTTTATTTTCACTCCGTCAACTCTTGCTCACACCACATACATACATATATATATATGTATATATACATATATGTTAGTAAAGAATGAGGGGTGAATGTAAGGTTTGATCTCCCTTTCACGGCCGCCACTTTTATCGGTACAACGCACTTTTTCTCTATTGGAACTCTGCAAACGACTTCTCACAAAAGGCAAATGTAGCAAGGAATGCCCTTCGGCCGGGTAACAGGGTTGCGCGCAATGGTAACCCGTGTGTGTTACCACGGAGCGGGGTTCTCAGTACCAGCAATAACGGGATGTCCTAGATAATGTATAGAATTTAGGAAAACATTCACTGGGAAGGCTCTGGGAAGATATGACCCGGGGTAGATTCTGGGTGGGAGTTCGTGCTCCGGGGGACTCCACACTTCCAGCAGCTAGCTGGCTGGTTCAGCAGGGGCAGCCATATAACAACGGCGGTTTAGAGAGAACCGCTGGAGGTTAAAACACTGTCGCCACAATAACGCCGAACGCCATTTTGTGTTTTGCTTTCAAGTCAGAAGGATCGGCGGCTTTGATGGCTAGCGAGCGCTAAGGATGCGCGCGGGCTGTTCCAGGGGAGGAAAGAACCTTTGAGTGGGGAGAGGGTTGTATCGTTGAAAGAAGGCTGAGAGAGGAGCGCCTGCAAGAGGGCGCTGCGGTCGGTTGGAGTCTTCTGTAGCGGTCGACGTTCGGCGCTTCTCTGTGCAGGCTGCGGTATGATAGGCGATTTCGGCGGCAACACCATACACGCGGCCAGTACGACGAGCTCGACGACCAAATCGAGTGGCGATAGCAGCAGTGACGGTGGTAGGGACGAACCCGCGCTGCGGCTTTGCACCGGCACTGCGATCGGGGCGAGAGGGCCGTAAAGACGGGGGAAAAGCTTTATGTCAGTTCTACAGAGTTACAGCAACTTTTCCATTTACTTCTTGGCAACCATGGGTGTTCTTTACGAAAAACAAGGAAAGAGAGCCTAGACTTCGCCCCTTGTTGGCAGTACCAGTGGCGAATGGTGTTGACGGGCCTTCTCTACTGGCAAAACTCGCACAGCATCGGCACTGGTTTCATCGAGAGAAGGAGAGAGCACAAAACACAGAATGTTGGTGGGAAAGGACACAGACGACGGGAATGGACGGGTGAACGAAGTTGGCCGTTGTTGTCGTCATCGTTGCGGAGAACTGGCCCACGGTAGAAGAGAAGAGTAGATAGAAGGAAAGAGAAGGCAAAGGTACAAGGCTAGGACCCAGAATCCGAAACAGTGAGAGCGAAGGAGGGAAAGCCAACGGATCCATCCACATGATCAAGTGATGAATGCCACCCACTCGCTGCCAAGGTGTCCACCCCCCGCCGAGCCTCTTGCCGTCTTCCGCCCATTCATTGAGCAACAGCTAGCTGCACACCCAGGCTGCTAGGACTACGACTACCATTACAACTCTACCAATCCAACCGCCAGATCCCAAGCCAAAGGCCTGATCCTTACGGAACCCTGAAAACAGGCCCTGATCATCCAGCAGCCCACAAAAACAAACAGAAGTAAGCAGATGACGGTGGACGGGGATAGACAGTGAGGGGCGGTGGAGGCATCTGCCGTAGTGATGACCCTGTCTCAGCCACTGTTGGCGGAAGGACCAAAGAATCGGGCCAAGTTGGTCCTCGCTGGACAAGCATCACGACTGGCAAACCCCTACTTTATCAAAGGCCTGGAGCCGTCGAACTCTATGTCGGCGCGTGTGCTGTCAACGCATGCTTCCGAAAACCGTCACTACATCGGTGACGAGGGTTAGTCGTAAGAGATAGGAAGGCTAGGTGAACATCAGGAGGCAATGTATGCCTGTTCAATGGTTAGCCCAGACGCTGTTTATCCTGTGCATATATAAGTGTACTACACGTATAGGCATAGGTACGAACATGGACACATACAGTAACACATAAGTACATACTAACAGGCATAAATGGAAATGAGTTCTCTGAGCTCGCGAGCAACGACGTGGACCGTTTACAAAGACTGTGTGTATATGTGCGCGTATCTGACTGTACAAATACAGAGTCCATGTGGGTGTCAAAGTGTACGGTGGGTGCGGCTCATGGGATAATAAAGACTGCCAGATTTATCAGGCAGTCTGGTTGAAGGTCTTCGAAACAAAACGTCTCTCTGGGTCTTTCTCGCTTCAGTACAAAGAAATATATACATAGATTTAACTTCTAAAGGCAAGCATGATGCACATAACCACGCGACGGGTACAGAAGCAACGTCCTCTGACACTTTAGCGCGCGACGCTGGGGTGAATCTTTTCTTCTATCAAGATGGCACAAGAGAGAAAGAAAGATTCCTTCTTAGCGGCCGTGGCAGGAACCTTTTTTCCGCTTTTTCCTGCACTGTCCCTCCCGACGTCGGTTGTCAAAGCGGCCCACCGTACGTTGGTCCATCTGCTGGTCATCCGAATGGCCAGCGTAGTGGTTGACGCTGGCAAGAACGGGTGACACTATTGTTGCCCGTGTTACTTTGCTGCTACACTGGTGCTGCTTGCGGCCCTCCCTTCCCTTTTTGCCCCCCGTCCTCTCTTCCGTTTCTTACCTAAATCCGCGGAAAGTGGGGCCTAGGAGCTCTATCTCCATCTTGGCGTTCTGCCGCGCGTACTATAGTCAGCGGTAGCGTGCCCCATTGCATCAGGCCCATCTCCCTTAACCTCCCGAACATTGTCGTTTTTCCCCTTTCTTTCATATCCCCTGCTAGACCCCCCCCCCCCCCCCGTAGGCACGAAGCTCAACTATGCTCTGCAAGTGGAGGTATCATTTTCCTCCGGATGGGATCCTTGTGTAGCAGAAGCTTGTCATGGCCTCCATTGCTGCATTTACCACAACCGTCGCTCGCTTAATCGCATACACAGTACGGAAGGTAACATATATTGCTCACTCGCTCTATAAGACGAAAAACCATTGTCGTGTCGTCACAACCATCTTAGACTCACCTTGCGGATATTATGGAATAATTCCGGTTGAAATTGCACTTCCGTGCTGGGGCACAAGAAAACAGCGGCACTGCAAGGATTCTATGCGATTAACGGAGCAGATCATGCGATGTTGCCTGGTAGCACAGGGCTGTGGGACGGTATGTGGAGCTCAAATCGTCATGCTGAAGTCGCGGTGTGTGATGATCAGATCGTGGTCGCAGGCAAATGTGATCAAACCTAAGAGTTCAGCCTGGGTCTGCTTCTGGCCTCGGCCTGACTGGCAACATTGTATTAGGCCCTCAACGCGATGGGGTCCTTGCGCAGTGTGGACACTGCTAGTACTGCCAGCCGAGGTGCGGGATTACCAGCAGAGAATAGGGTTGGTGGAGGGCTCATATGCTACTACGCTGATGGAGCGATGAGCTACGAAAGACAGCCAGCAGCTGGCCCAATGGGCATCGCACAGGCAGAGGAATGTTACGGAAACGGGGACCACAGAGATCTGCAGGATTCACGCTCAAGACGGATCATATGGAGCGGCAATGAAATACAAGGACACTCTAGCTGTATCTCAGCAACGCGATCCTTATATAAAAACGCAACGTATGAGAACTGTTTCGGGTGTACTGGACTGCAGGTTCGCCAGGATAAAATCATCGATACAACGCTTGAACTCCCATAACGATATATAGTATGCATATCTATATATATATCGTCATAGGATATATATACCGTATATATATATACATACTATATCCTCCCATATAATAATATGTTAGCAGGGAAACGGTAATATAAGATATTCGTTGTAATCTATAATATTGTGTTTGAACATGTTACCAGTGTAGACATAACTTGCTATGACATTAGAAGCCGTGATACAATAAAATATGGTGTGACTACGATAAGAGGCATGATACTTGTTGATATATAAACAAAAAGTATATAAATACTTTTACTCATAGAACTCAAATCGTCTGTTAGCTGGGCTCGTATACGACTCGTTATTTGCTAAGAATGTTTTTCGAAAACAGTAAACAGTTTTTTTCACGAAATTAGATAGCGGTCATATTTTGCAATGTTTATGAAATTTGCTTTTAGCGTTATTGTGCAACACATATATATATGACCGCCATCTTGGTTTAATAAATACAGCTCTATCTGTAAGATATACAATGTCTATTGCTTGCGTATGTCTGTATGTAAAAATCGACATGTATCGATGACGCTAGCGATTGGCGACCAGCAGACAACTGCATGAACATGACAAGTCGTAATCCTATCGACAGTCCACCTTATTCTACCAATTTTACGTATGCAATATTAACGATGTTATGATATAATATGACGACAGAATGCCCGTTATATAGACCTAGTAGTTGGATTTTCTTCATAATGGCGATGATGTCCAGGTATAACCCTGCTCCGAGCCACGTTGAGCTGACCAGCACAAGGCAAGCTATATTGTTGGTTTGCCCCTGCCTCGTGCCCCGGCGAAGCTGTCTCGCATAAGTAACTCAAATAATCACACCCCCGTGCTGACAAGACATATTCACCACCATCCACGCGCTGGGGTGAGTCCGCACGCGGTGGCGACCATGAAAACAGAGCCTGTGACGCTTACAGAGTTCTACCAGGGGTAACGTGCTTATTGTGTCGTCATAGAACAGCCACTAGAACTACGAGTAGCAGTTCGCCGGTGCTTGTAGTATGTTTGCTCTGTATCGTGAGATCGCTATGACTTAGTTCGCTGCCTTTCCTTTCGCTGCTTACAACTGAAATCCAGAGAGCAGCTTCATCAGTCTTCGTTGTGTTGCCGTACCATTCACTCACCAGTCGCTCAATATACCAGCAGAGCTTCTACCAGCTCCTTACGCTGCTAGCCTCGTGATAGTCGTCGTCATTACCACCACCGCCACCACCACCACCACCGTCATCGTCATCATCATCATCATCATCGCCAGCATCATCATCACCATCACCATCTTCGTCGTCGTCATCATCGACGACGACGACGAGCAAATCCTCTTAAACGTTGTGCAAGTGGAAAAGTGCATTGGTTTGCTTTGGGCCACAAGTGTTACATAAGCGCATTAGACGCTATGAAGCAAACGGCATCCACTGGGAACAGGCTGCAATCCTCCATGCGGCCAGTGCTACACAACAGGGCTGCACAGCAGCCGAGACAGGGCATGCGCTAGATTTATTCCAACGACATACACACGCATTGAGATACATCTGAATCTCGACTCGTTCTGCGGTTTCGCCCGTTTGCTTGCCACACACTCCTACGTTTGTCAAGTGCGAGTGCTTTCTACGCGTACAAGTGGAAAAGAAGTGGGCGAAGGAAAGGATGCGTCCTCAGTAAAAGGATAGCAATGGCGGACAAGAGGGCAAACGATCGATAGACAAAGGTAGAGCGTGTGCTGATAGAAAATGACGGCCGCAATAGACCATTGGCATATATAATAGAAAACGTGAATTATTTATCGGTAACGAACGTCCTACTTCTAAGCAGGATAATCGACATAATTGCTTCGTCGCAAGTCAACTACTATTGTTGAGAAGGGGTCCTGTTAACAGACAATGTGACATGTGATAAAGAAAAAAAAAAGCTACGAAATGTATAGGCATTGTAATGGCAATAATAATAATAACAACTAC